GAATCCACTCTGTAATACAATACGTATCAGTGAGTTCCTGACAGATTTAGGCCCTCAAACACACATGTCCTTGATCAGCAGCACAATTCTAGCTGCTGCTCTAGACCTTTGATGTGCTCTGTGCCAGTGGAAGAATGGCAAGGTTCATAATTTAGAAAGGAGAGCTTTGATTCTCATAAAATATTGCAACATATGAGCTGGGAATCATAGCTTACAATCAGAAACCAGAAACAGGAACTTCAAGGGTGTTTTACTGTGCTCACCCCTGTAACCCCACAAACATCCATAAGACAGATTCATGCTATATTAGGCAGCCAAACATACATATTCAATAAGCTACAGGAGGAAGCATGAATATTTATGAGAGAAGAAGCATGTTCATGTGCAAGTAAGCTTCATGCTTCCCTGGGGAACCACGTTCAAAAAATGCAGCCTTAGCATGACACAAGAGTAGTTTTAGGACCTCTGATGTCAAAGGTGAAGCAGAGGACATGAAAACCCTCACTGCACTTCCTCCCTAAACTGGACAGAACTACCCCGTGGTCTATGATCTCTCATCAGGAGAGAATCAGGGGTTGTTTTGTCAAGACTGCCAAAGGCAGGAGCAGCACCAGGTGTTGGCTAAACTCAGTGGCGCAGTCTTTTGAAAGGTCTGGTTTCTGTTCAGCCCTTAGGGAAGAAAGCCTAATGGCCCTTAGCGAGGGTTGGGGGACAATGAGGCATGTTCAACCTCCCATCATGTCATGGCTGGGAATGAAACTTCCAAGGTTTCTCTGGGGTCCTCTCGGCCAAGAGGGGGTCCATTCAGTCAGCTGGGGGTGCTTAGAATTTTTTCCTTCTCATCTGGGTCCCATACCAGACACTTCCTCTTTCCCATCCAGAAGCCCTTCCTGGTTCAGTAGGAGACATGAGAAGGCAGGTGCTGCTTTCACTGTGCCCCCAACCCCACACATTTATCTAAGCTACATCAAGAATAAAATAATCTCCACTGCCACTTATCAGTTCCCACGGACTTTACACATTATGCCTTATCTTTTCAAAAAATCCTGCAAGGAAGCATCTTTTCCTCCATTTTATGAGCAAAAAACCATAGCTTCCTAGGATACTTTGACTTTCCAGTACAAGTTCCCATAATATTTGCTTTTGTCTTGAAAAACTTTTGACTAGTCTTAACCACTTCATCTACTAGATCAATTTTAGTAAGGTAGTATTAGCTTGCCATGTTCCAAGAAAAAAAAATCACCAGGATTTTGATTAAAATTGCATTAGATTCATAATTTTTTTTTTGAGACAGAACCTCGCTATGTCATCCAGGCTGGAGTGCAGTGGCACAGCCTCAGCTCACTGCAACCTCCGCCTCCCAGGTTCAAGTGATTCTCCTACCTTAGCCTCCCAAGTAGCTGGGATTATAGGTGCCCACCACCACGCCCAACTAATTTTTGTATTTTTTTAGTAGAAATGGGGTTTCACCATGTTGACCCAGCTGGTCTCGAACTCCTGACCTCAGGTGATCTACCCAGCCTCCCAAAGGGCTGAAATTATAGGTGTGAGCCACCATGACCCACCAGATTCACAACTTAATTTAGAGGAATTTGTATCTTTGCCCTGAGTCTTTCCTCCTGGGCAAGGGGACCAGGATAGGGGTGGAGCCAGGGCTAGGCAAGGATGTGGAAGGGCAGGTTCAAGAACAGGAGATACATTCATGTGTGGATCCCCAGTCAAGGGACATCTACCACCACTGCCCCCAAGGAAGGCTTCAGACATCAAGGCAAAGAGGTTATAGAAACAAACCCGAATCTGAAGGTAAGGATGAAAAAAGAGAGTAAGTCCAAGCTGTCAAAGGGGTCAGAGTCCAGAGGATGTCCTCCTGCATGAGAGGAATGCAGGCAACGAGGGAGTCAGTGCAGGGAGGACACTGCATACCTGCATGTGGCCTGGAGCTGGCTTCACCACCACCCTTTCCCTCACTCCATGACAGAGCAGTCTGGGAGTCTGAGTGGACTTCACAGCACCATTCACACCTCTTTCCACTACAACAGATCCCATAACTGGCCATAATATCATCAAGAGTCAAGCATTCTTAGGTCACCCTGGCTGTCCATGCCTGCTTTGACCAGGGTCTTCAGGGTCAGAATGAAGAGCTAGATCGCTGTGTCAAAAGGTGAGGCAGGGGTGAGAGATAGGGGAGACTTCACTGGAGAGAAGTTTGTGGGACCAGAAGATCAGGAGGCCACCAAGTCCATCACAGTGGATACCTGAGCTACACCCTGCAAGCTTCTGGAATGACTGGGTGATGAGATGCCCTGAAAGGCAGGCAGACAGTACTGTCCACTCAGTGACTGCCCAGGTGCTAGTGCTGTTCAGTAGAGTACTTCTGAAGGCAGTCAGGTACTTAAGAATTTTGGAGATAACCATCTCCCACATTCCAGTCTTCTTAATATCACACTTACCCTGGACTGTCTCTGACAAAGACCCAGGACCATAGAATGCTTTAGGACACCCACTGCCATGGCACTCATGCCTCTGCTGGGGCTGAGAGACAGCAAAGACCTAGTTTCCATTCTTACCTCACCTCCTTCCCTGCAACCTGGCCTGTCCATCATGAAAAATGAACTCTCCTTTAGCCAGGACTGGAGGCAGGCTGAAGTAAACTGCATGGGCTTTCTACAACATCTTTTTCCGTGGGTGTCTGTGGAGGAGACACCCTTCCAAATGCTTAACTACCCCAGCCTCAAGAGGGGAGAGAAGAGCAGCACAGAGCAACTCAGGCAGGGCCAAGGGCCCAGAGCCAGAGCAGCTGTGCCTCCAGCTCTGCTCACAGTCCCTCCACCCATCCCAGAGGAGCTGCCACCCCACCCAGTGGCACACAGTCTAGGAACAAACTAGACCGTCCCCTGCTGGGTATGGAGTGAGACAGAAAGACTGGGGTAAGAGGTTAGAGAGGCATGAACAGGATCCCCTAGCCACGTAAACCACCACCAATTAAACAGGGATAAAGGCTGTGGTTTTCACTGAGGGAAAAAGTCAACAGGTACACTAAAGATCCACCTAAACCTTTTGCAAGGCTACTCCCCTTTTATCAAAAATAGTGCATTAGTCCATTTTCATACTGCTATAAAGAAATATCCAAGACTGAGCATATTAGTCCATTCTCATGCTGCTATGAAGATATACCTGAGACTGGGCAATTTAAAAAAGAAAGAGGTTTAATTGACTCACAGTTCAGCATGGCTGGGAAGACCTCAGGAAACTTGCAATCATGGCAGAAAACACCTCCTCACAGGGTGGCAGAGAAAAGGGAAAAAAAGAATACCCATTGAAAGAGGAAGCCTTTTATAAAACCAGCAGATCTCATGAGAACTAACTCACTAACACGAGAACAGGACAGGTAAACCACCCTCATGATTTAATTATCTCCACCTGGTCCTTCCTATGACACGTGGGGATTACAGAAACTACAATACAAAATGAGATTTCGGTGGGGACACAGCCAAACCATATCACTGGGTAATTTTTAAAGGAAAGAGGTTTAATTGACTCACAGTTCTGCATGGCTGGGAAGGCCTCGGGAAACTTATAATCATGGTGGAAGGCAAAGGGGAAGCAAGCCTGGACCTTCTCACAAGGCAGCAGCAGAGAAAAGAGAGCAAGCAGGGGAAATGGCAGACACTTAAAAACCATCAGCTCTCAGGAGAACCACTCACTATCACGAGAATAAGATGGGGGAAACTGCCTCCATAATCCAATCGCTTCCCACGCGGTCGCTCCCTAAACACCTGGGGATCATAATTCAAGATTAAGAGGAATTGTAATCTTGAATTATCATCCCCAGGTGTTCAGGGTGGGGACACAAAGCCTAGCTATATCAGATAGCTTTTCTTTGCAAAAACAAATGCTGAAATAGAAAACATAGAAAAACACAAACTAAAAGCAGCATGCAGAGATAATCACTGCTAATCTTTGGATGTATGACCTCTGTATTTTTCTCATTTGATATAGATGTAAATGCAGACATATTAGAGAAGAATGGCACGTACCCAAAGCCCAATTGTTCTAAATTTATGTTTTTTGGAGCTTAGATATCTTACTTCCAAAAGAACAAAACAATACAGAGATGCAGTGATTCTGATTAATATTTTGGCCCACATTTGGTGTGTGTATGCCTGTGTGTACGTGCATTTGAGTGTGTGTAATCTCTAAGAACACACACACACACACATTTTTCTTGCAGCACAGCTGTTCCTTCAGCAGCCTGTTGTCATCCGCAGCCAAGGGATCACTCTTTTCTCAAGCTGTGTAACTCTACGTGATTCCATTACATGGTTAAACATGTAAAGAAATCTTGTACAGCAATGCAATTTTTTAAATTCTTCTAGCAATTAGACTCCTGAATAAATAATTTCTTCTGCATGCACAAAGTATATTTAACAAAAAATGTAGCTTATTTTATTCACTTAGCAATAGAATAAAAATTGTTAATGTTCCTCAGGTTAATGTTATAGGCTTAATATTATTCTAAGCATTTTAGTTAAATTGATATTTATAACCAACCTATCACGTAGGTACTACTATATGCCTCTAACTTACAGATGAAGAAACCAAGGCACACACAGGTTAAGCTACTTGCTCAAAGTCACAAGGCCAGCAAGAATTGAAGCCTAGACTCAGTGCCAGGTGGCTGACCTCAGAGCTTATACACCTAACCATTATCCTCATATTGTAAAATCAACAAAAAGGACACAGAAACAATTCTTAATAGCTATAGACTTTTCTATTATATGTTCATACCATGAGTTCCTTAACCAATGCCCATCATTGCCTATCTAGGCTACTTCCAGTGTTTGCCTATTATAAAACACTTCCATAAATAACTTCATGGATAAGTCCTTGTACATATCCCCTACTACTTCTTTGAGATTAATAAATGAAAGTGACATTTCTGGTTGAAAGCATACGCCTATTGTAAGCTTTGATACAGATGGCCACATTGCTCTCCAGAAGAATATACACTAGGGTTTTTTACTATAAATATTTTCTATTGACACATAACAATTGTACATACTTATGGGGTACATAGTGACGTTCCCAAACATACAATACATAGTGATCAGATCAGGGTAATTAGCATATCCATCATCTCAAACATTCATCACGACTTTGTGTTGGGAAGATTCAGTATTTTCCTTCTAGCTACTTGAACTACACACATATTGTTAACTATAGTCACCCTAGAGTGCTATAGAATACTAGAACTTGTCCTTCCTACCTAGCTGTAATTTTGTATCCTTTAACAAATCTCTCCCCATCCCCAGGAGCCTATGTCAATTTACTTTTCCACTAACAATGTTTAAAAGTAGTATGGATGTCTCCATATCATTCGATTTGCTTCTTTGTCTTTCTGATAAATGAAATAGGCACCTCGATATTTAAGCGAATTTAATTACTGACTAGGTGGACCGTCACTTCATAAACTTACTGACAACAGATACAGCTTCAGCTCTTTTTACATACACCCTTTGTCTCTCTTCCACTGTGTGTTTGCCTTTCCTTATTAAATTGTAAGAGGTCTTTATACATTAAAGAATTCAACTCCATTGCATATGCTGCAAATATTTTCCAAGGGTTTTGTTCATCCTTGAAATTTGTTTATATTGTCTTTTGACATAATGTGCTTTTGTTTTGCTTTGCTTTTTCTCTTTGAATTTTTTAGAAATCAAATCTGTTAATATTTCCTCTATGATTTCTGATTTTGGTTATGTTTAGAGAGTCCTTGGCCGTAATTTTTACTTGCGTTTCTTTCTCATGCTTTTAAGTACATGAGTTATATTGAACCCTTTTCTTCAATCTGGAATTAGTTTGGTGAAGATGTAAGGTTAGAGTTCTAAGTTTCTTTAATATCTGATTATTTCAGCAAATCCAGTGGCTGACTTTCAATCCTTGGCACTGCTTCCATAAATCCACGTAGAATGAATGATACAGGCATTCAGTCTTTAGAACTTTTATAGATGTCTTGTCTGTTGTCCCCAGAAATCTTTTAATTAAATTTATCCCAATGTTGCAATGAATACTGAATCAAGAATCCACTTCATTTATTTTTCACTTCCAATTATGCTGAGTTGTCTCATTTAACTAAACTCGGCAGATAAATTCAATGTATTCCAGATATAAAATAGCTCATCACCATATAAAATTTTAAACTCACTCTTCTATTAATTCAATGCCTTATATTTATAGATAAAGTAAGGCTTTACAAAATGAATCTCCCTCTATCCTTGTCATGTAAGTTGCACAGCGTGGATCAGAACAGCTCCCAGTCCCCCATCCTGCTGCTGCAGCTGCTCAGCCCCAGTGGAGGATGCTGTCCAGGTGCCTGGGTCTTGAGAGGTGGGCTTTGGAGCCAGTGAAGCTCCCTCAGTGCCTCCAAAGCTTAGACCAACCAGCCCTAGCAGCCCGTGACTTACACGTTTCCAAAGCTCCACATTTCCTTCCAATCTCAGAATCTGGAAAACAGAAGCAATTTCAGAACCAGATGTGATCTCTGCAGAAGCTTCCAAAACAAGCACTGACTCCCTTATTTGGCTGGAGGTCCCACAGATAAGTGGGGCCCATGCTGCACACATCTAGCCTTGGTCATGGAGCGTAGTTGGCCATTGGTGATTCTCAGAGAAGGAAGTAGACAGAAAATGGAGGGATGAAAAAGGAAAATAATTCATAGTTTCCCTCTTTCCAGGCTATCAGCAAATCTAAAAGGGTTGCTCCTGCGAACTAAAATTCATCTGAGAGATAGCACACAATAAAGAGTTAATTGGTACCCAGCTTGGGTTTTGTGTGTGTGCCGCGGAAGCTCTGTCAATTAACTCTGCTCTCATAAAGGAACATTTGAAATGATTGTGATTACTTAAAATGTTTAGTAATGTAAATTGTGACCCTTTTAGTTCACAGGCCATTTCTGAGGATCTCTTATTCTGTCTCTTCTAAATATAACAAAGGTTTTAAAATTACATTTTCAATCTCCATCTTTCTCTTGATGCCTGAGTCTCTAGTACCTCAAAGCCAGGGTATATGCTCTGGCTAATGACACAGTATCCCTCTGCCATTTATATGAGACACTCTCCAGAATGGGTGGAGAGTGTCCAGTGCCCAAGCCCAGTGCCCTGTTCTTCATTCTACAGAGTGGGTGACATCATGGCCTTTGCAATGAGACCACCTGGGTTCAGATCCCACTTCTGACACTCACAGTAAAATATCCACTCTTTGCTGTTGTTTCCTCCTCTGTACAATGAGGATGCTATGGTAGCATCTACTTTATGGGGTAGTTGCAGAGATTAATGGAGACGACATGGCCAGGTGCAGTGACTCAAACCTGTGTTCTTAGCACTTTGGGAGGCTAAGCCAGGAGGGTCACTTGAGCTCAGGAGTTTGAGACCAGCCTGGGCAACATAGTGAAACCCCATCTCTACAAAAAAAAAAAAAAAATTAACCAGGCATGGTGGTGCATGCCTGTAGTCCCAGCTTCTCAGGAGGCTGAGGCAGGAGGATCACTTGAGCCTGGGAGGTCAAGGATGCAATGAGCTGTGACCATGTCATTACACTTCAGCCTGGGTAACAGACCGAAACCCAGTCTTTAAAAAAAAAAAAAAAAGAATGAGTGAGACCACATAGAAGAAGGGCTTACACACATAAGAAGCACTGTATGCATGTTAGTGGTCATTCCAGTTATGTCTCTAAGTAGAAAACAAACCCGACATTTGTCTAAACGATGTGCGTCTGCTGCTCTAGGTGCCATGAAGCCAGTGCCTCAATTATTTATAGTCTGTAATATGCCTCCCCAGAAAGCCATACCACTGTCTGGGTTCAAGTCCTTGGATAAACATCACAAGTTTATTAGAAACGTGAACATTTTTCCCCCACTGCAGCAGCCTTCACCTAAATCTATTTCTTATGGAGTGCCACAGCCATCTCCCAGCTGGGTTAAGGAACAGGACAAAAGGGAATGGAGTGACATCTCTCACCCAAAAAGCCTGTGCACTAGAGGGCTGTCTATTTGAACTGAGTCTACTGTGGCCTTTGAAGAAAACTTCTGTTCAACTCAAGACTGGCCCTTGCCTGCTTCATTGGGGAAGTGGCCTACAGGTAGATGATTTGCCCAGACCAATTCTGCCCTGGCCCAAGAACTGACTGCTCATCTCCAGCAATCCCAGAGCTTCCTCTGAGAGCTCTTACCACAAATGCCTGTCTCTTCCAATGGGAACTCGTCACAGAGTATCTGAGTCACTCCCTGGCGGGAACTAGAGAAGCTCTGCTACATGAACTCCAGGCCCCGGGGCAGATGCCTCTGCTACCCATAAGGTAGGGTTGGCTACGATTCTGTTGCGCAGGTCAGCAGGACCCAGAAACCCCACATCCTACTTTGTCCACAGCTATCCATGCTGGGATCGAAGCCATTTTAGGCAAAAAGACCAAGGCCCAGCAAGTGACAACTCATCACTACTAATGAGCATTTGGCCTAAATCCCTCCCTGGCCTTCTGCCAGATAATTCATGTCCCTCCCTGCTTAAAACTTCCCAATGACTTCTCATTGCTATTAGGATAAAATCAAAAATCCATACAAGACCCCAGCTGATCCTTCTCATTCCCTCCTCTTTGCTCTCCAGCCCTTTCTGCCTTCCAGCTCCTTGAACTTAGCTGCTCCCTCCTGCCTGTCTGGAAGGCTCCCCCTCTCCACATACTCAGCCTCTTTTACTCATCCTTCAGACAGCAGCCTAAGCATCATCAACCCCTTCCCCGACCCCAAGACTGGGTCACAGTCTCTTCATATGCATTCCGATAGCATCCTGTGATGCTTTGTAGCACTTACTAAATTGTAATTAAATAACTAATTTGTGTTTATTAGGCCAACATCTGTCTCCCTGACTCAGCTGTGAACTCCGTGCAGTCTGGCTGGGACCATGTATGTTGGAATTCCTATTGTTCCTCCCGTGTCCAGTACAATGCCTGGCACATTAGCAAGGGCTCAAAAAGATCTGCTGACTGCATGAATAAATTAAGTAGAAACCCAGTTTTAATCCTAACCAAAGTGCCCTTCATTTCCTGTCCACTCTAGCTTTAAATTTTTCTGTCCTTCTTGCAAATGCCAGTCTCAGTCCCCAACTAAATGACTTGAACATTCTCTGAAGCCCTCCCTAGACAGGGCTCACACAGACAAGAATTGGAATGCAGTCAGCCAAGCCCTGTTATTTTATTTGTCTCATTGCCATCGGATACCATGTTTTCTGTTCCAATCCCCATAAATCAATCTCTCCTGCTCTTCCCACAAGCCATCAGCCTTGACCTTTAAAACTCTGCTATATTTCCTAGAAAGCTCTTTGCTCTTAAAAGAAAAATGGAAGCAATTAAATCCTCTTCATGCCCTGTCTTTGCCTCTGCAAAATTAAAGGGCTGTGGAAGGTGTCTTCATGGTAAACCCTAGGTCCTGGCTCCGGATCAGATAAAACCACACTGTGAGGCCTTGGTATGTAAATAAACCTCACTCCTAATTGTAGACGATCACTCATGGCACTTCCAACATGAAGGCTCTGCATTTCTGTAATCATATGATTACTCAAAGAAGGAGACAGAATAGGGCACTGGTTAAGACTTAGATAAGGATTTGGAGTCAGAGAAACTTAGGTTCAAATTCTACAAGTCCCTTTACTAGCTGTGTGACGCTGACGAGTTCCTTAATCCCTCAAAGCCTCTCCGTATCCTCCTCTCTAATAGGGGATGACAGCACACCTCACAGACCACTGGGGGAATAAAATAGAATGGTGCATGGGAATGTCTACCACAGCTCCCATTTCTCAGAAAGGTAGTTGCTGTGGATGTCATCATTGTCATCACTGGCCTGGGACACTTTCACCTGTAGGATTTAATCCCTTTGTCCCACCCAACAGAGGATCTTTCCTCTGTTCTGTGTATGAGTTACATACAGAAGCTCTCTGCACATTCCTCCAGAATGACCATGGGGGTGGGCTGCACTAAGAAGGAGGAGGTGGCAAAATATACCAGTATATAGGGTGAGACTTTAGGGATTCATCCACTTAAAGAGATACAGTCAGCCCTCAATGTACGTGGGGGATTGATTCCAGTCCCCACCAACCCCATGCATACTTAAATCCATGCATACTGAGTCAAGACACCCAGTGGGCCTTGCAAAACCCTCTATACATGGGTTTCACATCCCACAAATGCTATCACTTCTTTCTTTTTTCTTTTCTTTTTTTTTTGAGATGGAGTCTTGCTCTGTTGCCCAGGCTGAAGTGCAGTGACACGATCTTAGTTCACTGCAACCTCCGCCTCCTGGGTTCAAGCGATTCTTCTGCCTCAGCCTTTGGAGTAGCTGGGATTATAGGCACACACCACCAAGCCACGCTAATTGTTGTATTTTTAGTAGAGATGGGGTTTCACCTTGTTGGCCAGGCTGGTCTTGAACTCCTAAGCTCAGGTGATCCACCCACCTTGGCCTCCCAAAGTGCTGGGATTACAGGTTTGAGCCACTGCGCCCAGCTGCATTTTAAAAAATTTTTTAACTAATTGTGTTCATGTCATGTAGATAGAGTTTATGAAAAATCAACACAGAGAAACTATGGTCCTTGATCAAATAGAGCTCATAGAAATAACTTGGGTTCTCAATACATCCTGTATTCACTCTGCCCAACACCAGGCTCACTATTGTGTACAGTCTACCTACATCGCACTGTATGTATTTCCTACAGCTGTTGTAAGAAATCATCACCAAAAGGGAGGCTTAAAACAACAGAAATTTATTCATTCACAGTTCTGAAAGTCAGAAGTCCAAAGTTAAGTAGTGGGCAGGGTTGGTTCCTTCTGAAGACACCAGGGGAGAATCCGTTCCATGCCTCTCTTCTGGGTAGGGGATCTTTCTCCCTGGCATTTCTTGGCTTACGGCTGCATCACTCCAACCTCTGCTTCCATCTTCATGTGGCCTTCTCCTCTGTGTTTCTGTTTTTGTCACTTATAAAGACACCTGTTATTGGATTTAGCGTCCAACCTATGATCTCATCTCAAGATCTCTAACCCAGCGGTCCCCAACCTTTTTGGCGCAAGGGACTGGCTTTGTGGAAGACAACTTTTCTACAGAACAGGTTGTAAAGGATAGTTTGGGGATGATTCAAGAACCTTATATGTATTGTGCACTTTATTTCCATTATTACTACATTGTAATACATAATGAAATAATTATGCAACTTACCATAATGTAGAATCAGTGGGAGCCCTGAGCTTGCTTTCCTGCAACTATATGGGGTGATGGGGCACAGTGACAGATCATCAGGCATTAGATTCTCATAAGGAGTGTGCAACCTAGATCCCTCACATGCACAGTTCACAATAGGGTTCGACGCTCCTATGAGAACTCTAATGCTGCTGCTGATCTGACAGGAGGTGGAGCTCAGACAGTAATGTGACTGAGGGGGAGAGGCTGTAAATACTGTGAAGCTTCTCGTGCCCACCGCTCACCTCCTGCTATGCAGCCCGATTCCTAACAGGACTAGTGCCCTAACTTGATAACATCTGCAAAGACCTTTATTCTAAATAAGGTTATACTCTCCATTTCCAGATGGGCATATCTCTTAGGGGTATACCATCAACCCGCTACACCCACCAAACTCAAGTATCATTTAGAAGGCAAGTCTTCAGTAGTAATAATAATATAAATTAATTGCAGACACTTGCAATTAATAGCTGTGCCCTCCGCAATCTGACCTCAGTCTGCATTTCAATCTTTAATCTGGCAGAATACACAAGGCTCCTGGTTCAGAGACAAAGGACTTTATTACTCATAACACATAATTTTACTAAAAAAACACAATGTATTATTTATCTGAAATTAAAATTTAACTAGGTATTCTTTATTTTATTTACTAAAACTGGCAAATGTAGGGCCAGCACATTGCAGGAATATCCTCAACATATTTGTGTTAGCTGGTAGTCAGGACCTTGTTTTTTTTGTTTTTTTTTTTTTTTTTTGAGATAGAGTCTCATTCTGTTGCCCAAGCTGGAGTACAGTGGCATGATCTTGGCTCCCTGCAGCCTCCTCCCAGGTTCAAGTGATTCTCCTGCCTCAGCCTCCCAAGTAGCTGGTATTATAAGCTTATGCCACCATGCCCAACTAATTTGTATATATCTTAGTAGAGATGGGGATTTCACCACGTTAGTCAGGCTGGTCTCGAACTCCTGACCTCAAGTGATCTGCCTGCCTCAGCTTCCCAAATTGCTGGGATTATAGGTATGAGCCATCACACCTGGCCAAGGTCTTGTTTTGGGGACATACCCAGAAAAGCAGACATGAGCATGAGAGACTTGTGGGGGCCATGGTGGCAGAATCGGCAGGTGGCTGAGGGACAGCAGGCATCTGTGAGCATTTTCCTGCTGGATCAAGTCAATACTTCTGCTGGAATTATTAATAACTACTTATTGCCATGCTACAATTTCCTCTGTGACATTCACCCTTTGAATGTCATCTCTCTGTTTATTCATTCTTTGTGATGCATCTGAAATCTCTTCTCCAAAAAGGCTTCTCTGATATCTGCATGAAGGACACGTATTACTTAAATATATTATTTAACTTCACATATGTTTCTTTTTTGTCTCTCCATATTTTAAGTTCAAGGTAGAATGATCTTTTCATAAATTCCTTGCATCCTCCCTCTGCCACAAGGAACCTGTGTTACTTTGATTTAGAGAGTATAAAAATCTGTGTTCTCTGGAGAAACAGAACCAATAGGGTGTATATATACAGAAAGAGAAAGAATTATTACAAAGAATTAGCCATGCAATTACAGAGGTTGAGAAGTCCCAAGATTTGCAGCTTGTAAGCTAGAGGCCCAAGTAAGCTCATGTGTAGTTGCTGTTCAAGTCTGAAGACCTGAAAACAAGGAAAATTGATGGTGTAAGTTCCAGTCTGAAAGTCAGCAGGCCTGAGAACCAAAAAGAGTTGATGTCTCAGTAGAGTCTGAACGCTGGAAAACATCTATGTCCCAGCTCATCGTCTGGCAGGAGGAGTGTCCTCTTACCTTTTTATTCTATGCATATTTTGAATTGGTTGTATTAAATCCATACACATCAAGGGAGGGCAATTTGCTTTACTCAGTCTACTGATTCAAATGTTAATCTCATTCAAAAACACCCTTACAGACACATCCAGGATAGTTTGACAAAATGTCTGGGCACCCTGTGGCTCAGTTAAGTTGACACATAAAATTAACCATCACAGGGGTAGAGGTTGGCCCTGACTCTACTAATGAGTAATGCATCACATATCCCTAAAATCAGAGACTGGGAAACTAGGAAACACTAACTTTTCAAGCAGGTTTGCTCTAGCTATAGTTTAGGTGAGACGTTTTTCTAGAATTTCCCTTTGTAATGGTGGTAGTCAGAAGGTGGGCTGGTGAGGGGGGAGGGGGTACTCTTCCTCTAGCAGCTCCTAAAACAGGAGCAATGAATGAAGCAATACTTATTAGCAAACCAGGTAACAATGTAAATATCAGTTGGTGTCTTATGTTAACACACATTCCAGATGCCATCAGCTCTTGCAAGTTATGCTTGAAAGCAACTAAGAAATCAAGCTCATAGATTCTAAAAGAAAGGTTTGAGATTACCTTGACAATCACTACATGTATGCCCATGTACTATATCTGGAAGGTCACTTTAACTCTCCTAATACAAGCCTAATACCCTGTGCTTTGCACATAACACATAATAAAAATTGTTGAATCAATGACTGTAGAATATCCATCTTTACTTTTATGCTCACACTGCTGAAATACTCATCTCCTATGAATGCGATATTGTATTTCATTTTGTCATTTGGGGAGATTTATAGAAGAGACTAACACTTTGATACTGTGATTAGTACTATGAATGGAAGTGCACTGAAAATAAAACACACTTTTTGTATAATAATCTTTCACTGCCTCATTCTCTGAGCTCTACATAATGTCTCCCCTAACACCACATTTTTTAAACACTTGGTTCAATAAAGTTTTCCTGTAACATCCCCCAGTGCCTTTGATTCCCATTTATTTTAGGATAATTTTATCCTGTGCCTGTAACTATGAATCCCCAGCAATAATTTAATTCCTTTTAAGTAGCATTTCTTATTCATCCATTACATGCTGAGAAGTGGGCCACAATTCATAGCCTTATAAATTAAGAATGTGCCACTATACCAGTATCTGACAGTGTGTAGCCAGGAAAAGAGACGTCACTCTAAATAATCCAAGGAGAAATGTAGTGCAGAGAATTAGTTTTAAATGTTTTGCAATGGCTGGAAAAGCGAAAGAATGGTATGGGGGGGAGGAGCAAAATAAAGAAGACATTTGTCAATCAAATATCAGACAATTGCCTTCATTCCTGCCTAGAACTCCCAAGCACAGAGTAGGTTCTGAGTGCAAAGGAGGCATTGCCACTGCTGCTGGCTCTCAGCAGGTCACCAGGAGCCTATGCACCCCTGATGAAAACCACATTTGTGGCGAGAGCCCACAGATGCCTGCAGTCCTTCAGCTGCTGGAAGTGCTGCCACCACTGCCCCTTGCGTTTTTGTGCCCCTGTCTGCCTTTCTTGGTATGCCAAGGATAGAGGCCCTGACCACCACCTAATACAAACATACCAATGTTCATGCAGTATACTGCATCTGAATTTGCCAGATTTCACAAATAAAAGTACAGGATGCCCATTTAAATGTTAATTTCCAATAACCAACAAATAATTTTTTAGTATAAGTATATGCCATGAGTAATAAAGTCCTTCATCCCTGGCCCAAAAGTCTTGTGTCTTCTGCCAGATTCCATGATTCAGTAACAGGCTAACTTACTAGCTTGTAAGGAAGGTAAAACTTAAATCCCAGAGCTGACCTTGGGCAGCTCAAAGCACTAGAGTCCACCAGGCCTCCAAGTCTGATCTTCAAAGTCAACTATGCAATAAAAATGTCTGATGCTAAACAATCAAGACCCTCCCATCCTCAATTCTATACATCTACAGTCATACCATCAACTCTAGAAGAAAACTCCCTCCAACAAATTGAAAACTTGAGGGAATTCATTGGTCAAATCCCTTACTTTTCAAATAACTGCTGTGCCATGGTTTAAACAACTTTAGTCTGAGAATTCACTCCACCTCTCAATATAGGCCTGGACCATTAGATACAGGTCCAAGTAAAGTCAATACATCTTCATTGAGCTCAGCCTATGCTAGAGGGTGTGAAGTTTAGCAGACATGATTCTTGGCTGCAAGTAATAGAAGCGAACTCTAACTTAAAATGTATTAAAAGGCTATTACCAAGCTCAGAGAATAGGCAGGAAGGCTGGAGAACCAGGCTAAGAAAATGAGCAGATCCATCAAGTGAGTTTAGAGGAGAATGTAGAAGAAGTCACATCACAACATCAGTCACAGGGAGACACCACTCCTGGCTCCCATTCCTCTGCTGTCATCAACAGCTGTTATCAGTGGATAATCATCCCTGTGCCAGGCTGACAATGCTACCACCATCACCCTGAACGATTTGACAGCTTGCAAGATGGGGCCACCAGGGGAAGCCAGGTGAAGGGTACCTGGGATGTCTCTTTAGATTCTACATGTGAATCTGCAATTATCTCAAGATAAAAAGTTTAATTCTTTTTAAAAAGTCACTTTTTAAAGAACCCCAAGTGGAATACACAGCTTGATTTCTGCCGTTTCTAACTTACTGAATAAATGTCACTGAGTACTTACTATGTGCTAACTACTTAGTTCAACTTTGCTTTTTAACCAATTCATCTTCCTGCGCTATTACATAATTTAACAAAAAATTTAATATCATTAACAATATTTTTAATCACAAAGAATAAAAAGTCATTAATAATTCTGCCACTTTAAAAAAGTGTGCTAAGGCACGAGTCATCCTTTCTCCCCATGCTCCCCCGTGCCCCATCCAATCCCAACCCCAGGAAGTTCCATTTCCGTTTGCTACCTCTCCTTCCTGACTCCAAAGTTTACACAAAAACACACACATAAATATTTTCACACATTTTTAAGTGAAAAAGGAAATCTGCTATGTAAAATTATCTACATCCTGCTTTTTCTTTTTATTTATTTTTTTATATATTTATTTATTGAGACAGCTCTGTCACCCAGGCTGGAGTGCAGTGGCATGACCTCAGCTCACTGCAGCCTCAAACACCTGAGCTCAAGCAGTCCTTTCACCTCAGCCTCCCAAGTAGCTGGGACTACAGAGAT